CCCCCCCCCCCCATAATATATTTTGTTTTCTCTATTATACTTATTTCAATACATGTCTCGTGTTTTCGGGGTCAAACCCATTATTTTTAATCCCCAGCTAGCCGATTTTTCATCAGATTTGCAAGAACAAGACAGTTCGAAATTTCAAACGAAAAACTATCAGTATTATATGCTTACAACCTAACATGCTTGTAAAAGCAAAATAGAGCATCCTTTTTACTCGAAAAAATAGGGGGAAAAAAAAAAATTGTCCATAAACGAAAAGACGAGAACATATTGGTTGTAAAAGAGAACAGTTCAACGAAAGTCCATGTAAATACAGCGAGGTAGGGACGTTTCTCGGCCCTGACAAAGGAGAAATAAAAATAAAAATAAAAATGTTGCTTAAAACGCCATCGATTGCAAAATGATCATAAAAACTACGATGAAGGATAAATAAATATACTCTGTCCCGCAACCTAAGCATCGAAGATGAAGTTGTGTTAACTATGTGTATATTGCGTGTGTACGTTATTATTGTAGCCTCTAAGGTTTAAAATTGTTGTTTTTACAATCACATAACTACACTACTATAAACAATAACGATATTGGATATGTTTACGAAGTAAGTGAAATCATTGTGCGTGAACCAGATAATTGACTTCGAAATAAAATTGATCATCTCGATCGAAAAGGTATATAATCACGCAAACTATTGCATAAGTTTCTTGTTTACAGTGTCCTATTGTCTTAAATAATACTTTCTTGATTAGTGATAATTGACATTCAAGTCGTGTATAGTTTTAAATAAATTTTTCTTTGAAAAGTAAATTTTTAAAATAAACAAAATAAAAGGACAAGCTCGTAAATCTTTTATTTTTTTTTTCGAATGTGAAAAAATGTGACACAACAATTTAAATTACCCAACAACACACAAACGCACGTAACAACTATTTATTAACTAGAGACAAAAAAAAAATTGGGAAAAAAAATAAACAAAATGTCCATCGAATAAGCCAATTAAGTCAGTTGGATAGTGGTTAGCCATTAACTAATGTAGTCATACTTGCAAAAAAAGTTGGTCCATCCAATAAGTCACCGTTCAAATAACGAATCATTTTATGAAATACATAAGTATATTGCGTGAGTTCGAGTATACCTTCATTAAAATGTATGTAGTATTGAAATAATTACAAACTAATGCAAATTTTAAAAATAACACAAGTACGACAATTCTTCAAGTATGAAAATTTCGACAGATCAATAAAATACGATTTGAAATTGTCAATGTCACGATCAAGCGGTTTGACAAGTGTGAATTAATTGGATACTACGTACATGCATGTATGTATTCGTATTGAATGATAAAAGTGAAAGAAAAAGATGAGAAATTAAAGAGATGATGGAAGATGTTTTTGATCGACTTGACGATTTTTTTTTCCTTCTTTGCAAAATCATATGCACAATTACGTGACGTAACATAGATGCAATGTAACCCAGCGTTCGTTTTAAAATAAAATGTGAAAAAATTAAACAAAAAAACAAAAAAACAAAAAACAAAAACAAATTAAAATTGTCTGGTGTAGAGGGGAAAGGTTAATGAAGGTAATAGATCAAAAAATATTTCCAAACCAGGTACACCACGTTATCGGAAAAAAAATATTGACTAATACTATAAATTAATTGGATTTATAAATCAATAGATTAAAGCTCTCGCACCAGCTCACAGTGACTAAATTTAATCGTTTTGTTTTGAAATGAGAAAGTGCTGTTGGATAAAATAAATTTTAGATAAATTTTCACATACCTACTTTATTAACTAAATTATTAGGTGCATTACACTTGACCGGCATCTTCGTTATTCATCTGAGTAACATATATTAATTTAAATATTTTTTAATGTTTGATTTTCAACGAAATATTTATTGATACATTGCACGAAATAAACAGCGCACAATGCTAATATTGTATTCAGTGTAAGGAAAAAAAAAAAAAAAAAACTTTCTCGTTTCAAACATTAAATAACATACAATAAAAGGATATCGATAGGTGTGTATACTTCCAGGATGACGAGCCTCGTTGAAGTAAAATTAAGGAATAAGAAACGACATTTACAATAATAAGTCACGAATATCAATAGTAATAACAATAAAAATAATAATAATAATAATAATAATACAGAATTGTTGAAATATACAGAATTCAAGATTCATGGTACTACTATCACGTCATCGTGTACTAGCATGTATTTTTTATAACACTACGAGTAAAAAATAAATAAAAGCTTTTACGAGAAGTACCCAAAAGCAGTTATGTTGTTTCCTTTGAAAAAAAATGATCAACAATCATTTGTTACATGTATATATCCTAATAACAATTCATAAAAATTAAACCAAGATAGTATAGCTATCCCGGGCTGGTGGCCTGCAGAGGAACTTATGCTGTATTTATTGAACCCATTCAAAACGCATTTGGGCTACAAGAGGGGGTTACAAGCAGATCATTTGAACATATAGTAAACATTAAAATTTATATAAACTCATTAAAAAGCTAGGCTGTAAGAATAATAACCATATGTTTTATTTTAAATCCTATAAGCATTATTTAACAAGGTACTTTTCGGTCATATCAGTCAACTTAAAACATACTAATACTGCAATCACATTTAGTTGGTGAATTTGTTTTAAACGTATTTTCTCATCATCTTAAACAGTTTTCAGTCCCATACCTACCACACAAGTGTACGTATTTCACGTGGCTCAGTCACTGCCGAATTCATTGCGCAACCAAGGGTACTGCTTTGGGCATTCGTAGCAGGTGTGCAGATACCTGTGGCTATTAAGTATTTTGCTGGGTAATTTACAAGAGTTTGTTACATTGCAAACCATCTCGCGTGAATCCAACTTTTTGTCGTTGCAAAGCCATGGCTGGAACGCGCTAACTGTTTTCAAGGTCGTTGGACTCTTTATCCACTCGATCGCTTGCTGATTGGTGATAAAGTAAACGTCAGGGAAACGCAGCACATCGTCTATGAAATTCTGAGAAAAAAAAAAAAAAAAGTAACACACCATCGCTACTTAAGTATTAATATCGTTGATTTTTTTTAATTTTTTTGTTTTTCAATTCTACCGAAAGGGCTATAAAGTTGTTGGTGTCTTCAATCCACGACGATTGGAAGTGGAGTCCCAGGGGCGCTCTGTTGCTCGCATAGTGCATTTTGAAATTATTCATGAGTGCCCCATAGATTTCCTCATCCGTGAGATTCATCGGACACATCTCGAGAAGCGGACAGTTTTTATCCTTCAGTTGTAAGGTACATAACAAACAATTATTCATTTTGTAGGATGGGTGATATTAATGCACACGTACCTCAGTAAAAATGCCGCGCGCGCGAATTTCTCGTAAACAAATGTAAGAGTCCGTGTACGAGCAGCAAGCTGCACCGATCTCGGACTCACTCGGTGGATCAGGGCTCGGATGGGCTTATATTGTACTTATTCTCACATTTGAACATCCAATAACTGCGCGACAATACAAACTTGCGGCTTTCTCCGTCTCTTTTCGCGTAAATGTGTATGTACCAAAGGTAATTTGAATTTCATTCGAGCGAGTTACGTTGCGCCGCAGTCCCAGGCGTTTACCGATCATGCTCCGATCGGCGTTAAAACTCTACACCGCGAGCCACCTTGGCTGTTTACAACTTTCTCTTCGCATTTGCGACTTTTGGCGTTACCTGCGCATACACCTCGTCATGTTTTTGCACTTTACTTTTGATTTTATAACCCCCCCCCCCCATAATATATTTTGTTTTCTCTATTATACTTATTTCAATACATGTCTCGTGTTTTCGGGGTCAAACCCATTATTTTTAATCCCCAGCTAGCCGATTTTTCATCAGATTTGCAATAACAAGACAGTTCGAAATTTCGCGAAAAATCACCCCCACGGCGTGTTATTCGAGAAAAAGGCAGCCGTGACATGCGTTTTAATATATATATATTATGTCCCTTGGACTCACCAAAAGAAAAACCGGCAACGAGGAAAACACACCAGAGTCGCGAGCGCGACATCGCACCCAGGACCACTGCAGTTATAAACGCAGGTACCTTCACTCGCGATTCGACAAACAAAAATAAAAAGAAAAAAAACTGTCACAAAACAACTTCCTCAGAAACAAGTCAAAGATCCTCGGTATGTGTATGATACCGATGTCGTGCGATCTCTGCACAGCCCAGAGGAAAAAAGTCGCCTTCGGGAGAGAAGAAAAATAATGAGACGTTTTCTTTTTTCTATTTTTTTTTTTTGGCACGTGCCTCCTCTCTTCCCCGGTAAAAATGGTACAGAGTGGATACTTATAGCAGCAACTGCTGGCTGGTACTTTCAAATCGTACTGAGGAGCCTCCTGTACCGAAAGCGAGCATCTTACTGTTACATCTCTTGGCGGTTGCCGCCGTCACCGTCGTCATATTTCTCGCACAGTCAAAATTACCACTATCTGAGTATCGTATGGTTTTTCATTTTTTCGTAACAAATTAAAGCGATGAACCTTTTTTCTTTCCTCTCCCTTTGTCGTCACGTGCTAAAAGACCGCTAAGCTCAGAAAGATGAATCTGTTGATACCGTGGACTGGTGGTATACGTAGACATGTACCATATATTTATAGTTTTTTTTTTTTTTTTTTTTTTTTATTATTTACATCAGCTTAATCACGCGGATTTACTTCAATTAAACGTTGTTCAAGAATCTTACATGTACAGGCAAACTAAATTTTCAACGCTATCTACGATCGTCACCTCCACAATCATTTTACTTATCTGGTTGTTGCCCAGAAAAAAAAAAATTGTTTGCATACATTTTCATTGGCACATTTTTTGCAAGTATTGAAAAAAAATTGGGACACGAAAAACATTGAACAGAAGGGAAGTAAAGTACAAGGCAATATCGGCATGTAGAATCGATGATAAATGTCTAAAGTATTATGGGAAATTGTGCACACGATTCCAATTTACCACGAGAAAAGTAGAAACATCATCAGTTTTATACGTTAAATACAATACGCAATGCAATTTATACGTGAAATACAGGAATCGTGGATGAAACTGATCAGACCATTATTAAAAAAGCTTTATAAAAACAACATACACATATATACACGCGCATTTGCGTATTACTGTGTTGAGTACAACAGTACAACGTAGTACATAATAAATTAATGGATTACTTAATTATAGGCAACACCTATATTCCTATACTTATTATTTATTTATACCTATCTCGAAGTTTACTTACCTATATTTACTGTGGGGACCCGAATATCACTTTACGATCAGCGCCATCTAGCGTTGTGATTTTCGGAGACAAAATATCTAGGGGAAATCGTCTTGAGAAAAAAACCCTAGATTTTGTATGTGCTATATATATTTTCTCGGCCTAGGGTTTTCCCCCCGAAAAATTTGATGGTATTGTCGGTATATATTTGTGCTAAAATATGCGGGACCTGCCGTACCGACAATCAACTCACTTACCCGTTGAAGATACCAACTGTGAGATGTCGACCGTCGGTATCCCGTCATCCCGAAAATCACAACGCTAGATGGCGCTGATTGTAAACAACCGGCTGACCCGCCGACGTGTAGCATTGTTGACGTTATCACACACAACAGAGTGTAAACAATAGTTCGTCGGTCTTTTCAATGATTCAAAGTATATAGAAATGAACGTCTCGATATTAGTGTGCAATTTTTTTTTATTATTAACAGTGGCTCATGGAACTCTGTCACCGGACAGTGCTAAAAAGCCCAAGAAGGATAAAGTCCATAGAAGGGTTAGTTCCTGAAAATACTTGTTTTCCTTCATTTTTACATCACATTATTTAGGTTTTGATAACTTGAATGTGTCAACACTCTGCTTAAAAATTAAATTGTTTAAAATTGTACTTCTCTGGTAATGCTTTCATCAGAATTGCTATAAAATTATACCTACCATTGAGTACTCCAGTTTTAATATTTGTTGTAATCAGTTTGGTCCAGTAGAAAAAGATGTCTTTCAAAGAGCTCTTGTCAAGCAAAACACCCGGGCTCAGGATATCCTACGTGACTGTGGCACGTATTACAAAAATACAAATCTAAGGCACTACGTTTCGGGTGAATTTCTCGGATACATTACTCCCGTGAGTTGATATATTGATACAATACTCGATATTTTTATAATTACGAAATTTTATTTGTCACTTCAACAGTGGAACGCCGATGGTTATGAAAAAGCAAAACAATTCCATGGAAAATTCGATCTGCTATCACCAGTCTGGCTGGTGGTCAATAGCAAGGACCCCTTCAAGATTCCAACCCACGATCTTCAGAAGTTGTGGCTTGATGACATAAAAGCTTTGAACAATGAAAATCACACTGTCAAAGGTAATACTGTTCCATTGGATGGTTCACTATTCCAACTTGTAGTGTAACAGTTACATTTTTGTTTTTCCTGCCAGTACTTCCTAGGATTATGTTCGAAGAGTGGTCGAAAAATGACATTGCTTCGTTTAACAACAATCATCAAAAACGACTTAAACTGATAAAAGTCTTGATAGATTTAGCTGAGGTGCAATAACTTTTCATATTTTTATTTTATTTTTTTTATTTTTCAACATTTACAAATTACAGGCTTATTCGTTTGACGGATATGTCTTGGAGGCATGGAATCAGTTTGTTATTTCTGGAGCCAGTAAACATCTAATTACCTCTTTAATTAACAGCATAGCCGAGGGATTGAGATTGAAAAATCTCGATACGGTATTGGCCGTTCCACCACTCAGGGGGTAAAATCTCTCGCTATTTTCTAATACAATTCATACGCGCAACAAAGAAGAAAATTAACTAATCTTTTCTTGCAGAATGGAAAAGGAGCTGTTTACAAAAAACGATTTTGATACTCTAGCACCAAACATAAGATACTTTTCTTTGATGACCTATGACTTTTCCAACGTCCAACGACCCGGTCCGAATGCTCCGACCGAATGGATAAAAAAATGCGTCCAGTACCTCGTACCTAAAGAGAAAGACATCAGGAGATCCCAAATACTGTTGGGATTGAATTTCTATGGATATCATTACACAGCCGAAGGTGGAGGAGCCGTCGTGGGCTCGCAGTATTTGAAAATTCTCGAGGACTTTAAGGGTAAGATACGCTGGGACGACAAGAGCGAGGAGCATTTCTTCGAAGTCACGTAAGTAATTAGAAAATATTAAAAAATAATTTCTTTTACCTACAATCTAATTCATTCTCGTACTTAACATAACGTGCATTATATCGTACAATTTCAGATCCGACGGTGGTGGATTCGTTTTCTTTCCGACGCTTTACTCACTCATGACCAGACTCGAACTTGCCAGAGAATTAAAAACTGGCGTTAGCATTTGGGAGCTCGGCCAAGGTCTGCCTTACTTTTTCGATATACTGTGAACGAACGCACACAACGCACAAAAAACCGGTATTCTACATTCTAATCAATATTTACAATAGTAGGAAGTGTTTTTGTTTTCTACGAAAGAAAAAAAAGTGACACAAGTGCGAGGACAACTTTTTTTTTTTTTTTTATCACTTTATCATTTCGGCGTCTCGTCTCCTTAGCATCATCATGGCTTGTGGTCCTTGTATTACGTGATACATGAGTGCCCAGCACATTTTTGCTGGTAATATACTGAAAGTGTGAAAAATGACAACGTTTACATTAAACAACAGTCGTATGTTTGCCATATTTTATGTGTAATGACGTGAAATTTACTGACTATTTGAGTGGCGTGAGGTATCTGATAGCCGCAGGTAGAACGACAAAGACCTTGTTTGTTGCTATCGCTGCTACAACTTCAGTGGCCACGTAGTCAGGCTCGAGCATTGGTCTCAACCTACCATTCATCAACAATAAAATATGAGATTTTTTTTTCATATTTCATTGATACGATTAATTATCTTGCATTACCTAGGCTTGACTCCACTAAACATCCCCGTATTGATGAAATAGGGACATACCAACGTCGTGTGTATACCATAGTAGCCGTGAGCCTGTGGTTAAACAATCATTTTTAAATTTCATTCCCGTAAGTTTTAATAGACACGCAATCGTACCTTTAATTCTGTGTAGAGGCTCTCGTGGTATCCGCAAGCTGCAAATTTCGTAGCCGAATAATCGGTGCAGTTGTAGGTACCCAATAGACCGGCTACGCTGGCTACCGTCACGATATGGCCGTGGTTTTCCCTCATCATTTCTTTGAGAAAGGCTTTTGTCGTCTATTCAAATTTCAACGTAAAGATTTTACGTACAAACATATCACAGTATTTTCTCAAACTTGAGAAATAATAAGAGGTAAAGTAAACAGAAACGCATGATATTTACCCAATAGTGCGAGATGATGTTGACTTTGAAGGTGCGCTCGATCTCATCGTCTGGTATGTTCATTAACGTGCTGCCGTAAACGTAGCCGGCGTTGTTGACGAGTATCGTCACCTGTGCCCCATTAATGTTAATTACCAAACAAACAGTATCTCCTTTTCTAAAAATCTATTAAAAGTATTACACGCACTTCGAACCAGCGAATTTATTTTCTTTGAAATTATCTACTTCCATGGATTAATCATCGTTCAATCGAGTTAATTAAACAAAACAAAATCGGTAATTACTTACGTTGCCGACCTCGAGTTTGACAGCTTTCGCGGTATTGTAAACTACCTCGCGATCGGTTACATCGCAGTGATAGGCCCAGCACTTGCCGCCCGACTCCTTTATGACTTGGGCGGTCTCCTCGACACCTGCAGCCAGTAAGATTTACGAAACGCATAAGTACATATTATCACCTACACACACACACACACACACACACAGCTGAGAGAAAGCGGTGTTTGTATATACACCGATAAGATCTTGCGAATAACGAAAGGTTTTTTTTTTATAATGACATAGGTTTTCGGCAAGCTCGAGCTGTGTGAACTCGAAGGCTTGTCTCCCAACGTTGCTTTCGAGAGACGACTGTATGGTTTATAGTGCACAAACCTACCGATCTATTGGCCATGATACAATCGGCAAAAACAATCAACCTGGCGTCGCTTGTACACCCATTGACAATAATCTCCCGAATCTCCGTTTCTTTAGAAAGTAAAACGTGCCCAAACATCTTTCTCCTCTTCGGAGCTGAATATAATAATATGTAGGTATATGGACGAGAAATCATGTTTGCTACACTTGAATTATCAAAACTCCGCGTGACCGCAGCCGCGAGGAACAATGAGCAACTTTAGAAAGCACTTTCTACACATCTCTCTTTCTCTTTCACTGCATCCTCGCTATACATATGTATTTAATCCATACGTATTTATCCCAAACGATTATTGCCCTTTGCACTGTTACCCAGAGGGTACACCTATATAGGTACAACCTATAATCAACAAAGAAAGCAGCAACGAGAACATAATATAGGTGCAAGCAGACCAGATTTGTCAATGTCCCAGAGCACGAGGGTGCAGCCGCGTTTCGCCAGTTTGACGGCGACTAGCCGGCCGATGCCCCCGGCTGCCCCGGTCACCAGTGCCACCTCGTCCTTGAGGCACTTGCTGCGGTAGCGGCGCGGCACGAGGCTCAGCAAAAGCGCCTCGAGGACGTAGATGATGGACAGCCAAGCGAAGAGCCCCAAGTCCCGCAGCACGTCCATGGCCTCGCGCAACTCCATCCTCGCGGGACGCCCCGCTGCTCCTTCTGAAACCAAACGACCCCGAGTTTCGGGTGTTACTTTTTCCTCCCAAGCGCCCCATGCATGCACCCACGGAGTTGAAATGCTCCAAATATCGAGTTTCCTTGTTTGTTTGTTTGTTTGTTTGTTTCTTTCTTTTTTACCTCCATATTCCCAACGATGTGAATGATTTTTTCTTTTGTGTGAATCGGACACTCGCGAGAACAAGTGGACGGATTTCGACGCAGTGGCGTGAAAAATAATGATGTACATAGATCTCCCAAACTTTCGCTTGTTTGGTCCATTTTCGTTTTTTCTTCTTTTTTCCGCGTTCACGGGTCAAAATATGAGAAATCGGTAATTATACCCCATACCGTACCGAGTCCTGTGCTTTTACGAGTAACAGCCTGCATCTATAGTGTCAAGTATATGAGGAAATCCAATCCAAATCGACCATTTTACGTCACAAAAAAAAATTAAAATTTTTTTTGAGGCACACCTTTGCAATAAATTTTTTCTTGTTCTATGTACCCTCAGAAATAAGGGAAAAATAGTGTGCAAGAAATTCAGGCTTTGTGACATTGTTTTTCACGACTCTGAAGATTTTAATCATTAATTTTCGAAAAGAGTGCATGATTCCCCGGGACACAGGTACTCTCGCGTACTGTATAGACTACTTGACATGGGCTAATGGGGACTTAGATGTATATCTAAGGTAAATCGGGGGTGCTGAACACAATGAACATGGTTACAAATCGATATCTCGATTACTTTTCGAGATATCGATATAACGAGCAACATAATCTAAAAATTACGGGGCGAAAAAAAATTTTTTTTTTTTTTGAGGCACACCTTTGAACCAAATTTTTTCTTGCTGTATATACCTCCAGAAACAAGGAAAAAATTGTGTACAAGTACTTTGGGCTTTGTGACACAGTGTTTTTTATGGCTCCGAAGGGTATAATACTTGATATTTCAAAAATACTAAGTGAACATGATACGTGCGACTTGTACTGCGTTTTTAAAGCAGCTTGTCGTTTTTATACTATACCATTTTCAATCCGATGGACCATCGACACAGTACAAAAATAAAATTAATTTCTATCTACTGCATTTTTTCTGTAATAAACTAAATCTAACAAGCGCTACATGGAATTTTACAGCTGCTGGTCATGGCAAAAGTATAGCTGATGCGATTGGAGGTACTGTTAAAGAAATGTGTGATAGACATGTTACTTTTGGCCATGATATTTTATGTGCAAATGATATGGTACAATGCATAAATAATTCTAGCAGCAAAATAAATTCATTTTGTATCGATGAAGAAAAAATTAAAATGATTGATAGTCTTGTTCCCGAAGATTTAAAGCCAGTTCCAGCAACTTCAAAAGTTCATCAAGTTATGTGGTCCAAGTCTAACAGTAAAAGTTTGTCATTCAATTATTTATCGTGCTCTCATTGTAATATAGATACTGGTTGCGAACATTATAAGATTGATAGTGTAGTTACATATGATGCGAAAGAAATTGTAAATAATGATGCTAAAAGTAAGAATATTTCACCGTTTCAATCAACAAAAAATTTCAAAGTTGGAGAGTGGGTAGTAGTAATATACGACCAGTGGTACCCTGGTCAACTTGAAAAAATTAATAAAAATGCATTAATTGTTAGATTTTTAGAGAGAACAAAAAAAAATTTTCGTTGGCCAAAGAATAATGACGTTTACACTGTATTTCCAACACAAGTACTGTGCAAAATTGATGAGCCGATTCGTATATCAAAAAAAAATATATTTAAAATAAGTGAGCGAGATTATAATGAAATAACTGCTATGTCTAATTCATGCACAATTTATAATCCCTAGTAATTTATTATAACTTCAATACTTACTGTTAAGTTATGTGAGTTATTATAAGATAATAAATAATTAATCTAAAACTATATGGTAATATTTATTCAAACTTGAAAAAATTGGTAATTTTTTTTTTTTTATGTTTTAACCGAAAACTTGATAAATTCAAGCGTCTTTTTGTTAATTAAGTCCTGTTTAATCTAGTCAGGTTCCTCAAAAAAAGAAACTTATCGTGGTATAGTATAAAAACGACAAGCTGCTTTAAAAACGCAGTACAAGTCGCACGTATCATGTTCACTTAGTATTTTTGAAATATCAAGTATTATACCCTTCGGAGCCATAAAAAACACTGTGTCACAAAGCCCAAAGTACTTGTACACAATTTTTTCCTTGTTTCTGGAGGTATATACAGCAAGAAAAAATTTGGTTCAAAGGTGTGCCTCAAAAAAAAAAAAAATTTTTTTTCGCCCCGTAATTTTTAGATTATGTTGCTCGTTATATCGATATCTCGAAAAGTAATCGAGATATCGATTTGTAACCATGTTCATTGTGTTCAGCACCCCCGATTTACCTTAGATATACATCTAAGTCCCCATTAGCCCATGTCAAGTAGTCTATACAGTACGCGAGAGTACCTGTGTCCCGGGGAATCATGCACTCTTTTCGAAAATTAATGATTAAAATCTTCAGAGTCGTGAAAAACAATGTCACAAAGCCTGAATTTCTTGCACACTATTTTTCCCTTATTTCTGAGGGTACATAGAACAAGAAAAAATTTATTGCAAAGGTGTGCCTCAAAAAAAATTTTAATTTTTTTTTGTGACGTAAAATGGTCGATTTGGATTGGATTTCCTCATATATACGTTAATACCTCCCCTTCCCCCTGTGCACGTGTCCACGAGTGCTCTGTCGGATAAAGAAATGATTAATTAATCGCGGAACTTTATTGAAACCGCCCGTTAATTGCAGCTTTCTTTTTACGTCTCGCGTTTTCAACTTTGTTTTTTTGGATTTGGAAAGGCGCGACGGAAAATTCCATGTCCCCGTCTGCTGAGGCAAAGCTGTATTGCATCGAAAGACAATAAAAGCCGCGAGCGCTTGTCCGCGCGTCGACGCGTCGTTAAGTATACATCAGAGAGCTTGCAGCGCTGCATGTCAATTGGGAGGCGCGAGTATGCATCGGTGGACAAAGTTTGCTCACCGCGAAGATGATGATGGGAAATCACTGTGGGTGTTTGCTTTTTGATTTCACAACGCGCAAAAGGTGATTGCTTCAACGATAATTTACAACCAAATATGACTATGTCGCGTTGGGTGCCTACATTTTCTTTTTTTTTTTTTTTTTTTTTTTTTTTTATCGCGTTTAATCCAGTTTTGTAAGAGTTGCACGTAACACTCGTTGCAAAAGTTGATCTAACTAGTTGCTTGCATGAAGTACTGAAATGATTATTTACACGATCTGCCATCAGGTTTTTTCTTTTTTCCGAAAAGTATGTCCCCACAAACTGTGCTTCACGACGTTAGTTTACGGGTAGGGAAGAAAAATAGTTATCGCTTTTGTTGTTGTTGAAAATTCGAATGGCCCATAAAAACGTCCAATGAATACTTGGGAATTGGGACGAAAAAAACAAAAACAAAAACCCTCCAAAACCCAGACTCACCTTGTGTAAAAGGAACAAAGAGACAACTGAAAAACCAACGTGCACATGCGCACAGGAAATAAAAAAAAAAAAAAAAAAAAAAGAAAAGAAAATCTTGTTCACTGAAAAACTGTCTTCACCAAAAATCCAAGCGAGCGAGCAAGGATCTCTCAAATAGTACATATAACAAGCAATGCGAGTCGAGAGCGCAGGAGAGTCCGAACGGGACTGGCGTGTAAACGAGCGGCTGGCTGTACCACATGCCGTAAGTATAAGTACTCGCGGGTCTATATCCTTTCGTCTTCTCCGGCTATATACATGCGGCTCGTCGTGCGCTCCGAAAACCCTCCTCTCGCGCGATGCACGTGCACTTACGTATATACATATAGATAAATAATATCTCTAAACATCGGCAGTAGAGTATACCGATCCGTTGCCGGGAATAAAGGAAAGGTGAAAGCGTGTGCCTCTCTCTTTGCTTCTTCGGCTCTCCTCTCCTCTGTGTACTTACCTTTGCTTCGCCGTATAGGTACATAGATAGGTATATAGGCATTATTACCTACATACTCGACGAGTCTGGTCTGTTGAAAAGTATACATACCTACACCTACTTGTGCAAATCTTTGTGAAAAGATTTCATGCAATAATAAATATGTTTTTTTTTTGTTTCCCCAAATTTTCGCCAAATCAGTATACTCGCGGAGGATGTTTTCACACGCTCGTGCACGCGATCGATCGGTAATCGGATACTTGGAGCCAAAGTATCGGTACGAGGCAAAGGCTCGTTTTCATTGGGAATCACATGCGTGGGCTTTTTTCTGTTCTTCGTTTTATTCGTGCAGAAACGTAAAATACAAAATGGCACTTGAGTTATATAAATTATACGATTGCTTATAGAAAAAGTACCATATTCATGCAGTGACCCCCACCCGACGCTCCTATATTTATATTTTCAAGGTTTCCGGCTCGACTCGAATTGTACTATTGACAAAAGTCAAGCACTTTTTACGTGTGCTTGGCGCAAGTAAACCCGCGCTAATTGACGCATTTGTCGTTTTGATTCTATACCGATCTTGGGAAGCATATGCTTATACGCGTATAGGTACGCGTGGTTCAAAAATGAGACACAAATTTATACGTGTATACTTTGCGCAACAAAGTCTTTAGACATAAACAAATTATTATACACGAAACAGAGGCACTGGGGAGTGGCGCGCGCGCGCCTTGCGATCGAAAGATATAAGTATCTCCTGCACGTATACGGGATCAACACATTTTCCCTGCGCTCAACAGTTTCGCTCTGATTTGTGTAAACTTGCGTAAAAGCGCCCTTTTTATCCGAGACACGTGCAACATCAGGACTTTTGATGCGAACAAAGAAGGTTTTACGACCAAACGATCGACAGAGCCGATTTTTATGGGTCACGCGAGGTATAGGTATTGAATGTCGAATCGCGAAAGTGCAGCTCGCGAAAGACGCCGATTCGTTGAAAATTTAATATATTGTCATCGGCTATTCAAGTGCTGCTGTTGCTATACTGTCGATTGTCTTCGACGGTGCTCGCGCATATACATAAATATTCGTCCTTGCGATTGGCAAACCTCTCGGCGTATGGAATATACAGTAGCTCTCGATGCGCTTTTCTGGGGAAAAATTATACCCGCAGCGATGGAGCTCGTGGGTATTATAAATAACTGTTTATCCGAATGTACGATCGCAGTAGCTTTTTCTTTTTTTATGCAACGCTGCCGACAGGACGAAACTAAAAAAAAAAAAAGTTTACCTGATACCATCGTAGATTGTTTTTTTTTTTTTTTTTTTTTTTTTTTTAATGATCTAATCAATGTTACATGGCTGATTAAGCAATGGTGTGCAGCCGATCGGTACATTAGATAATAGTAATCGCGCGCTTTTCGAATGCCGTTCCGTCGTATTTGTGAAATTTATCACGTATACCGATGCGCTCGTTACGCTGTCGACTAGTGGATCTTTTTGCGATATCGAATATCTTTTTGAAATTTCCAAACCATAATTATACACAAAAGTATTTCGTACACATGTACCCGCGAAATTCGAAAGAGTCGAGAAAAAAAAATGTAGTCGTTTTTCCACGCTAACACTAAAAATATATATATAGAGAAAAGAAAACAAAGCCACTGATCACAATGACTTATGTGGGTCTCTCAAAGGAGCGCAAAACAATATATGGCCCAAGCGCGCATAAATATATTCGCTTCAGCCGCAAGTGCTCGTCACCCCATTAGCCTTGCCACACAAAATACACACAGTATGTAGGTACGTGCATGCAAATGTGCACGCGACGACGCTTAGATGCGTTTGGCAAGACGCTTGAGCGAAACGTGACTTTTGAACTATAATTTTACCGAGATACTTGTTTCTTTTTTTCTTCGCGACCCTCACTTGCGTTGCACAACATTGCAGTTTAATATACTTACACGCAAAGGCACATTTTTTCACGCGCGCGTAACTTTAATGGAAAAGTACGTTGAAGCTGGTTATTCGGGATACGCGTAAGGGTGTATATACATATGTATACTTACAACACGTTGCCGAGTACTATTTTGCCGTTGCAGCAGCAAAGTTGTTGCTGTTGTTAATATAATTTGGGTCGGGATGTAGTGGGAACAAGCTGGGACGTTATGTCACCCTTGCATTGGATCCAAGTAACCTTTTCTCGGTGGATTTGAACTTGCCTATCATTTGTTTATAAAAATATTTATTCGGTGAAAAGGAAAAAAAAAACAATGATGCGCCGCTTTCCGTGACAATTTTCATTTAAAAAAAAATTACCGCATTAGCGACCGTATCGAAATAATGTCCATTTGCCCCACAAACCTCTTATAGTTCTGCAAAGTGAAAGGAGTTGGGAAACCAGACCAATGGAAACATACATAGATTGCGCCTTATTCCTACATACATATGTACCCCATTTTCCCATGTTTTCCACGTCTTTCGTTCACTTTCCGACAGACGCGCGTTGGATAATTTTTTGGAGCAAAACGCGTTCATGATTGGATTATATGCGATTGATTTTTAACATAACTAAGCTTTAAAGGTAGTTAAATAACATTCGACAGAACAATTTAACCATGCAACTCATTGCTATAGAATATACTTACAATTTTGTTTACTTGAATTTAAATTCGGCTTGCGGCTAGAGTAGAAGGGAAAAAACTACGTTTTTCATAGTTGTGTATGAGCGTACCTACGTTGATAAATTATTTTACTCGACAATTACTTCGACTACGTTGCTGTTAATTAGTTTAAAAACCTCTTTTTTATATACATTTAGATAATAGAGGTGTGTGCATATGATACATGCATACTGTGGTGTACATTATCGACTGATGATAAAGGGGGTGAAAAACTACAAATATAAAATCCTGCAGTCGGTAAGTAATCTACATTAACGCGTTACGGTAAGCGGTGGTTTGAACAAAATAGATGAGGTTATCTGATGAGCTTTAAAGATTCGGTGAATCAACCGTCGGTACGGCAGGGTCCGTACTTTTCTGCTTCTATACCGATAATTATCGCCAAATTCTATCTGGGGAAAAACCCTAGGTAGAAAATATATATAGCACAAAATCTAGGGTTTTTTTCCAAGTTGATTTCCCCTAGATAGATGGACTCCGAAAATCACAACGCTAGATGGCGCTGACAACAAGAAATCAGTGTAAAATATAAAAACGACTAGATTTGATATTTCTAAAGTCCGAAATACTGAAGAAAGGGGTGATAGTATAATTAAGTAGTACTGTTAGCGTATATTCAATGTGAAAACTGTAAATAAAATAATAACTGTATACTGAATGGGCCAGGCCAAAAAAAGCTAGATGTGCGAGTAGTAATGGTAATTGAGAAGTATTTTAGAAAAGCTCTCTCGGTTTGAATACATTTATGTGTACACACAATGTAATGTGTTAACGAAGGTAGGAATTTAATTTTTGTACGAAATAATCCGTGCTAATTGCAACAATCCCCTCGACAAGAACACATACGAAGGACGGTTGAGTTGAAACGGCCCGTATGAACTTTTACCGGTTAACTATAATAATTTTCATACGTGACAACACTAGTCGGTACTGCGTTTACTGCATCGCACGATTGCGCCGATTTCATGCTTGGGCGAGTGCTTGGGTCTATGATGCTATACTTACTGTTTCTTACCCCAAAGAGATTCTAATGAAAATTACCACACGTGATTTGATTTCCAGCTCGGATTTTTATGGTCAGAGGTGCTCTTTTTTATACTCCTCTGTAGAATAAATCTTGGTATCATTGTTTTTCTGTGGGAAAGTGTTGTTCCCTTTTATTTTTTATGAGCCTACGTGCCCCAAATGTTAAATAACTTAATTGAAGTATGCGTATTGTGTGTGATGTGCGGACATGTATGATCTCGCAATAGTTTTTCATCTTACGTATGTGTTGAATTTTTGGGAAGGACGAGTTTTTTTATTTTTTATTTTGAAGTCGAAGTGGCAGCGAAAAGTAAATCAGAATCGGTTAGTGGATCGGTAGCTTTGGGATGATTGGAACGTGGAAATCACACAATCTCCTTCTGTGAAATGCAACTACTTATTTCTCGCACATAGATATATTTACTGACACGTCTATGTTTAAAAGAAATTCATTCATCCATAATGTGTTCAACGTAAAAATCTTCCGTCATTACGGTACAATGGCTCCTAAAATTTTGTTCTCGACATTTCGACACTCTCCATGGCAATGATTGAGACACCTTTTCTTCGAAACATTATCCCGGAGCTTTCTTTTGACCAAAAGCCGTGCATTAATTGAAGAAAGAAAAAAAAAAGATTATTGAATAATTCTTGCAATGACCTGCGTGTGGTAAAAAAAAAAAAAAGAGATATGATTCGTTCGAGTCCAAGGATATCGGCGTTATTTCGTGCCATCGAATCGTCGAAAATTCGCATAAAAATACCAGTTCCCATCGCGCATAATGGGACCAAAAATCGGGTCAAGGAGAGCTGATGAGTTGGTAATGCATTTCTTTAACGAAGTGTAAGTACTTATAATATCCCCGGGCCTGATCTCGATTTAACGACGGTGCGCAGCGTGAACAAACAAGGGTATATGTATATATATACTTAAAATCAAGTATTCTTTCAATGGAAAATGCTCGTAAACAACAAAGCTATTTGTTAAACGCGAAATAACCGAGGTGACGTACAATTTTTTCGCTATTTCGACAG